GTTCGGGCTTTCGTTGGCTGGTGCAGAGGCCGTCTGATCGGCTCGAGGCCGTCTCGGAGTTCTCTTCCCTAGTGCGTGTCCCTGCTGCTCCTACTGCTCCACCTGCTTCACCTTGTCCGCCTAGCCCACCGACTCCACCGAATCTGTCCACTCCAGTTGCTCCGCCTGCTCCACCTTCTCCATCTATCCCACCTGCCCCGCTTATCCCACCTGGTCTGCCTACTCCACCACACTCAGTTCGCCTACTCCTGCGCCTCCTTCTCCTACTTTTACGTTAGTTTAAGAGGCTTACGCCATTCCGCCGACCCCCAACATGTGGATGGACGGACGTACTTCTTTCCGCTTCCCGTATCTCCAGCAGCCCACATCGAATGGATGTCCAGGCGAGCAGTCGGGATAAAAGAAATATCGAAGACGCCTACGGCGAATCACCGCCGCCCCCTGCCTTTTTGGAAACGCCTATGTGGCCGAACGTTGTGGCCAGAGGCCTGCCAAGCTATCGGACCATGTGTTCCCCGAATCGGTTTGGACAGCGTCGGGGAACACGGTGGGCGAGGCTGGGCCGACTTGGGCCTTTCTTGGGGTGCTCCAGCTCCGTCTCGGAGGCCATCTTGAGCGTCTTGGAGGCCTCTTGGGCCGTCTTGGGAGCCTTTTGGGGCCGTCTTGGGGGCCTCTTGGGCCGTTCTGGGGCCATACTGGAGACCTCTTGGGCGATCTTTGGGGGCTCTTGGGCCGTCTCGGCGGGCCGTCGGAAGGCCGAGCAAAAAGCAAATGCCAGACTCCTTCAACAACTCATGGGAAATCAATGAGTTTGGCCATTTCGGGCCTTCCTGGAGGCCCTCTTGGAGGCCTCTTGGGCCGTCTTGGGCCATCTTAGGGCCATCTTCGGCCGACTTGGTGGGCTCCTGGCCCGTCTGACGCCGTCGGAAGCCGTTTGGGAGGCCTCTCTGGGCCGACTTGGGGCCTTCTTGGAATGCTACAGGACCGTCTTGGAGGCCATCTTGGGTGTTTTAAAGTCCTCCTGGGCCGTCTTGGGGGCCTCCTGGGGCCGTCTTGGGGGCCTCTTCGGCCGTTCTGGGGCCATCTTGGAGGCCTCTTGGGCGATCCTAGGGCTATCTTGGGGGGCTCTTGGGCCGTCTCGGGCCGTCGGAAGGCCGAAATAAGCAAATGCCAGAATCCTTCAAACACCTAAGGACAACCAATGATTATGGCCTCTTCGAGCCCTCCTGGGGGCCCTCTTGGAGGCCTCTTGGGTCGTCTTGGGTTAGCCTAGAGCCAACTTCGGCCATCTTGGTGGGCTCCTGGCCCGTCTGACGCCGTCGGACGCCGTTTGGGGGGCCTCTCTGGGCCGACTTGGGGCCTTCTTGGGGTGCTCCAGGGCCGTCTTAGAGGCCATCTTGGGCGTCTTGGAGGCCTCTTGGCCCGTCTTGGGGCCGTCTTTGGGCCGTCTTGGGGGCCTCGTGGGCCGTCATGGGACCATCTTGGAGGCCTCGTGGGCGATCTTGGGGCGATCTTTGGGGGCTCTTGGGCCGTCTTGAGCCGTCGGAATGCCGAGAAGAATCAAATGCCAGAATCCTTCAACAACCTTAGGGAAAACCAATGATTCTGGCCTCTTCGAGCCCTCCTGGAGGAACCTGGAGGCCTCTTGGGTTGCCTTGGGCCGTCTTGGAGGCTTCTCGGGCGACCTTGGAGGTATCTTGGACTCTCTGGGGCCGTCGTGGAGTCCATCTTGGATCATCTTGGGCGGATTTGGAGGCCATCTGGGACCATCTTTGAGGCCATCTTGGGCCAACGTGGCCATCTTGGAGGCCATCTCGGGCCATCTTGAGCGAAACATTGGGGCATTGTTCTCCTTGAGGTCCTTTCCGGGTGGCTGGCGGGACGGGCCGAAGCTCCAGGGGGAGTTTTTTTTTTTTTTTTTTTTTTTTTGTTTTTTTTTTTTTTTTTTTTTTTTTTCCCCTAACAGCGAAGACTGATAGGTTTCTAGTTGACTCAAAAGAGCTCACAGATCACTCCACAGGGGGGTCCGGGCAGGTGTTGGGGAGTTGCCGGGCGGCAGGGTGCCGGGCTCGTTTTTCACCAACAGTCACACACTTCGTGCTCTTCGACTTCCCAGAACTCCATTCCCAGGCCACATTCTCAATACCCGGATGCAACAGTCACACACTTCGTGTTCTTCGAGATCCCAGAACGCCATTCCCGGGCCACATTTAGAATAACCAGATGCAACAGTCACACACTTCGTGCTCTTCGAGATCCCAGAACGCCATTCCCGGGCCACATTTAGAATAACCAGATGCAACAGTCACACACTTCGTGCTCTTCGACATCCCAGAACGCCATTCCCGGGCCACATTCTGGAGGGCCGGATGCAACAGTCACACACTTCGTGCTCTTCGAGTTCCCAGAATTCCATTCCCGGGCCACATTTTGGATGCCCGGAGCCAACTGTAGGCCACTTCCTGGTCTTCGAGTTCCCAGAACTACATTCCCGGGCCACATTTTGAATAGCCAGACGCTTCGTAGTCCTTCCGCCACAGCCGTGTTTGGTTCAGGAATTGCTAGTGACACTGCAGTCCACTGCATTCAATCGTGCCACTGCATTCACTCACTGCAGTCCACTCAGTTTCGATTGCAATGGCGTTCCCCTGGCCGTACCCCCATACCCAACGTTCATCCGCAGCCTCTGCTCCGCGAGGCTCGTCCGAAGTGTCGCCGCCTCGCGGTGCTTCTCAGCCTGCGCCGCCTCGCGGTGCTTCTCAGCCTGCGGAGGAAGGTGGACAGACGCCTGGTTCTGGCGCTGTGCAGCCTGCGTCTTTCACGGTCGCCTCGTTCAATTTCGGGTTCGAGCAGGGCATGATGACTGGTAAGCAGGCGGCCACTCACTGCGCTAACTTCGGAAGGGTGTGCGCCACGATAGTGGAGACCGCTGATGCTGATATGGTCTGTGGCTGCGAGGTCGGTGCGTTCCGTGAAGGCTTTCGCCGAGCAGGGATCAACGTGACAGAGATCCTCAGTAAGCCTTTCGGTGATGGCATTCGCTTCTCGGAGGTCGACAACTACTTGACTCTCTGGGGGTTCCGCGGTGCTTCTCAGCCTGCGGAACTGACTCTGTGCGAAGACAGCAAAGTTTACAGGCCTCCTAGCGGCCGAGAGATTGATGCTGTTATTTCACATTTTGAGGTGAACAAACCAGGCCATGACAAGTTCCACGTGGTGATCGCCAACATGCACATCGTGTGCGGCAAGAAACCGCCGACCATCCAGACTCGAAAGCGGACAGTTCGCAATCTCCGCTTGCACCTGGACTGCCTGGGAAAGATTCTTGAGAATCTGAACCAGGCAGTCGTTCTGCTTGTAGTCGGCGACGACAACCTCACTTTCCAGGAGGCGCGGGAGGCTTACCAGCGCCAGCAGAACGACGAGAAGCTCTGGGAGGTCCATGCCACTCCGGCCGACCTCAAAGGCGACCACGTCGCGGTCTGCGGAGCAGTCGCCCGTTTCTGCTCCATTGCCGTTGGCGCGTCTTTTACGGATCGTGGCATGCGCAACGACGCACACGATGCGGTGGCGGTTGTGCTCACTCTCCCTGGTGCTATTCAGCCTGGGGAGAGCAAGAGGCGGAAGATTGTCGTCGAAAACGTCTCCGACGCCGACGTCAGCGTACAGGCGGACGCCGAGTCTTCTGTGCATTGGGATCGGTCGCCGAGTTCTACTCCTCCGCTTTCACCGACTTCACCGGGTGATCCCGACTACGTCGAGGATGTCGTTCAGAATCGCGCGAACGACTTGCACAGGGAGCTGAGGCAGCTTTGGGACGACAGGTACGACGAGGAGTACGATCCGAAAGTCCTCCATCATCTCAGTCTCTTGCTTTTCAAAAAGAGGAAGTCCACGGAGCCAGCGGACACTAATCCAGCTGGCGCTCCTCAGCCTGGCTCGGAATATGACGCGGCCTTTGCGTCTCAGGAGGAGACTGGCCGAGCCATTCTCTCTGTCCTTAAGCTTCGACATGACTTTCTGCGGAGCAAGAACATCGACGACATGCGCTACGTTCTCACGGAGCCTGAGCGCCAGGAATTGGTCAGAGTAGCTCGCGACCAGTACGAGCAGTCGCGGCAGCAGCGTGCGCTTCAGGAACG